AAAAGTACCGAATTAAAAGAATGAATATTATATATACCTAGGCACATTAAGCCAGTGGAAATTTGGTACCTTCCTTTGTCAGCTGCTTAAATTTTAATGCCAAATATCATCATTCAGCCACAGGAGATTTTTAATTTTGAAGTAAATGACATTTGGTAATTTTTCTAGACTCAGAAAAGGACAGGAATGCAAAAGCTGATTTTGAAAGACTGTCGTATCCAAAAATGGATAGTTGACAAACCTTATTTACAAGTGGTGATGGCCTTATAAAGCCTTATAAAGGCCTTATAAAGTTAATTTTTTTTCAAATCTCCATCGAAACAATGCACAGTTTCTTTGAAGACTGGTTTCATTATGTGTGGAAATGTTTTTGAAAATAAAGTTATAATGCAATTTTTTCCTACTGCTCTTTGTGTGTGTGTGTGTATATATATATATGTGTGTGTAATGAAACTATGGTTCAATGGCACAACATGAATGATTTGATCGTGAATGCAGCACAAGGACTTTTCCCATGATTCACTGTGAACATAGCTTAACAAACTCGTGTAGATTTTTTCATAAGTAGAACTGGCCGAAGAATGTAATGACAGAACAATTTTGGAGGCATTGAAATACGAACACTGAGACGTAGATGCATAGAAATACTAATTCATATACTTGATGCTTAGAGCGTCCATGCATTTTGAAGAAGCAGCAGCCGAGCCGGATTAAATTACTTTTTTATTTAACTTGCCAAGTGAATTGTGGCCACAATTCACTTGGCACTCCACTCGTGCCTATTAAAGAATATTTTCAATTTTGCTATAGAAGGTTCAGGTGTTTGCACACTTTTGTCAGGCACCTAGGCTGGTAGTTGCATCCTGTGTGTAACTCGTGCAGAAAAGAACAGTTCGTCCCTAACATATCATGGCAAATTCAGATGAGAGAGAAATCTCATTAAGGCGTAATAGATCCAATGGACGCTATTGACAATCTAAAGAACTGTGCAACAACATTTGTTTCTACCATACTAATTTTGTTTCCAATGCACGAAAATGTGTTTCTCCATGCAATTTTTGGCAGTCGGAAAATGAAATTGGCGATTGCTTGTCGGCCAACATTACGACCGCCACATTAAATGAATTCTTTTGGCCGATCCATCGTCAAAACTCACCTTTCTAATCAACACCGCAGCCAATTTATCTGTTATTCCCAAGAGTTATAGTCAGCTTGCCAAAAACCCAGCTGCATTGGTACTCCTTGCTGCTAATGGCACCAAAATAGCAATGTATGGCACCAAACTTTTGACCATCAATTTAAACTTAGTCACTCATTTACTTGGCCTTTTGTCCTGGCAGATGTCAATCAACCCATCATAGGTGTTGACTTTCTCACGAAATTCAACTTACGTATAGATGTTAAAAACAACCATTTAGTTGATGGACAAACAAAACTATATTCTTGTAGTAGACTTCCCAATGTGCACCCGCTCAGTACTAGCATTCATATTTTGATGGGTAACTCAGAATTTGACAAAATTTTTGCCGGTTACCCCAGCTTGACGAATCCTTCACAAACTTTTGAGAAGACACCAATGTCAACAGTTTTCCATCACGTTAAAACTATAGGACCCCCTATTTTCTCAAAACCTAGAAGATTATCTCCAGAATTACTTCAAGCTGCACGTCAAAAGTTTGACTTTCTCCTATCAACAGGCATCATTCAGCCTTCAAAAAGTCCTTGGGCAAGCCCACTGCATATGGTTCGTAAGGCAAATGGTGACTGTCGACCATGCGGTGATTATCATCATTTAAACACTATTACGATTCCGAATCATTATCCCGTACCCCATATTCAGGACTATACTCAAGTGTTTTCAGGAAAGAACATATTCTCAACGCTTGATTTAACCCGTGCCTATTGTCAAATCCCTTTTAACCCTGCAGACATTCCAAAAATGGCTGTCACTACACCATTTGGTCACTTTGAGTACTTGTATATGCCATTTGGCCTTTGCTACGCTGGCCAAACATTTCAGCGATTCATACACCAAGTGCTATCTGGTCTTGATTTCTGCATCCCCTGTTTTGATGATATCCTGGTTGCATCTACAGGTACAGAAGAACATTCCCAACATCTGCGCCAGATTTTTACTCGCCTTAAAGAGCATGGGCTAAAACTAAATCCATCCAAAGGTGTACTTGGTCAGCCCACAGTTTCCTTTCTTGTCTTATCACTCAGAATGGAGTAAAACCTTTACCTGAAAGAGTCAAGGCAATTAATGACCTACCTCAAACAAAAACCATCTCTGAATTTAAGTGTTTCTTAGCAATGTTTACTTTCTACCATCGCTTTCTGCCGCATGCTGCAAAAACACAAGCTTGCCTGCATGAGTTTCTGAAGAATAGGGGGGGAAAATCGATCAACGATCTGTCCCTTCGACTGAAAATGCATCTGCAGCATTCGTGCAATGCAAAAACGATCTGGCAAATGCAGCCATACTTTCTTATCACTCACCTAATGATAAGCTCTCTATAATGGTGGATGCTTCTGACACCCATAGGAGCTGTGCTTCAAGCCCATACCACTAAAGGACTTTCTCCAATGGCATTCTTCTCCAGAAAACTTACCACTGCAAAGAAAGGAAATACAGCACATATGACAGGGAATTGCTTGCTGTGTACTGTGCTGTTGAATACTTCCGGCACAATCTGGAAGGACACGACTTTATCATTTTCACCGATCATCGACCATTAATCTTCGCTTTTCGAAAAAACTCTGACTCATGTTCTCCTCGTCAGCTTCGACAGTTGGATTTTATTGCCCAGTTCAGTACAGACATCAGACATGTCTCTGGTACTGATAATTGTGTTGCCGATGCTTTGTCTCGGATAAACAATATCAACCTCACCACTCCAGATTTTTCTGAAATTGCAAAAGCTCAGTTGCATGATGAGGAACTCAAGAACCTAATCTCGAATCCACAAACCTCCCTTCAGTTACAACCACTGCACATTGATCCAACGCTTAAAATTTACTGTGACATAGAGAACAATAGAATATGTGGTTTACACATTCTGTTAAAATTATTTGAAAGTATGAACAATGACTTTTTTTCTGCTCCTCTAAAATAAAAAAAAAAAAAAAAAAGAAAGGAAATTGGTTTGTATAAATTAAGAAGTTTGCCAAGTGAATTATTCTTGGTGCAAACTGAAGAAAAATTCGCAAAGATAAATTTTTCACCCAAAATTACAAAATTTAACATGTAGATATAATTTGAGTCTTAGAATCGATTTTGTGTCAAAATACCTATGTTAGAACAATGCTGGGGTTTTCATCCGCAGAGAACGCGTTGGCGCTTCGGGAAAGAACCCTTTGGCGCAATTGCAGTTTTACTCGCCAATGAGCCGAGCCGTAAGCGTGATATTTTGTAAACGTGGTTTTTAGTGATGTAAATTCAAGTTAGCAGACAATGGTAGTAAAAATTCACAGATAATAAGTATGTAGATATTAAACTAACAGGTTAAACGTGATATACGAAAATAAATTTCTATTAAATTCAAGTTAGCACAGAAAACAATGTATTAAATTCATTTAAAAAATAACAATTAGTATTCATCCATTTTACATAGTTTTAAGTATTTTTTTTTTTTTTTTCAAGTTACTTGCATACAGCTTAAAGCATTTTACATTGAAACAAATACCTATCCTTTTTCATAATATATTTCACAATACAAATAACCTTCAACAGTAATCAAATTTTCTTCAGTAGCATTTTTAATAAAACTAGAACTTTATACATTTTAAAATTATTATAGGGGCTGGAAACCTCATGGTTCTGCGTGCTTACAGCTGTTAATAATTAAGAACATAACGAGAACAGCCATGTTACAAATTAGCATTCACCCCTCCCACCATAATTTCTTCCTTTGATCCCGAACTGATGACCCGAGACCGGCATCTTTCGACGAAAACTTCTTTAATTATGCGAAAATATTTCTATCTATTCGTTGTTAAAAATTTCAGAAAAAATAATAATAAATAAGAGAAAAATAATATAAATCTCCAAATGCGAACAACGACAACCTTCGCATGAGCGAATAGGATGAATTAGCTAGGTTACCAGGTTTGAACTATTATCGCCAAAGTTGGCGATGTTTACATTTACCGGGTTCTCTGCGGAAGTGCTTCCCAATGCTGTATGTAAATCTAATATGTATCCAAGGTTGCACTTTCGAGACATGAAAAACGTAATTTGAATTTTGTCAATCGACCCAGTAGAACAGAAGATATAGAACTGCCCCCCCTTTTTTTTGCCCAGTGTACATACAGACGTCATGAAAAAAAATCCGTTTTGAATACAATTTACAATTAGCTTTCTAATGAAAGTCTTTTTTTCTGCCCATACATAAGACATCAGGAAAAAAAGTAATCGAAATGGATTCGAGAACGATCAAAATGGATATTTCCTTTGAAATCTGAAAAATGAAATTTTTCGTGTTTACAATATTTCCTTTACTTCGTACGAGGAAGTAAAAACATAAGAGTTCTCAAGATCAGGCTCATTTAATGTGCCAAACTATGTGTTGCTGCATATATCAAGAATAAGAGAAATACTTAGCCAATCTTGATAACTGCTGTAATGCATCAAGATTTAAATCATTACACATATACATCCTTTTTTATACATATAAAAAATTTTATTCATTTCTGCCCTGGGTCATATGAATTCAAGATTCAGTGCAGAAATGAATAATTGTTTTTTTTTAAATATTAAAGTTAAATGCAGAATTTTCTTAATCTGCTTATCAATAAAAAAATGTTTAAGATTTTGCTTACTTGAAAAAAGAAAATTATTAAAATTTTTACTTTTTTTTGTAAATTATGGTTATGTATTTGTATGTGAAACACTGCAAGTATATGAATTCTGAAAATTTAACATGCATTGAATAATGTTGTAATGAATTTTAAATGTTTCAATTAATTCTGTTATAAATTCAGTGTAAATTATTTTTCAGACTGCCATTATTGACAAGATCATAGAGCCAAATGTTCGTGTTACTGTAAAATTGGACAAAGAACAGACATGTAAGGTTTTTTTACCCCACGTATTTAACTGAAATTTATGAATTAAGTTATGTGTTTTTACAAATTTCATGATTTGATGTACTGGGATTCTTAATTTTAAGAACATAACTTCATTAAATTATTCTCTGTGGTTATTATTTATAAAAGTTAAGAACAAAATCAACCATACTAGAATTACAGTAAAAGCCTGACTATCCAGACTGTAAGAAACTAGAATATTTTTAGAATATCAGAATTTAATTTTTAACAAAACATAAAGAATGTTCCTTGTAAACCTTGTTCCTTGTATAAAGAATGTTCCAAACCTTCCTTGTAACATCTAAAATGGTAATACGAATTACAAGGCTGTCTTTCAGAAGATGCTGCTACTTCACACCATTTTATCCAGCATATTATTCCAAGAATTCATCCTTGAAACTTGACTCTCCTTGTAGATGTCTTTCACACCGAGAAATTTTCAATGTGCAAAAACTGTGTAAATGGTGTAATTAATGCAGTGATGTCACAAGCAATCATAAGATCTTCAATGTGTTTTAATATAAACATGACTAATTCTCAATCAGGCAGTTTAGTTTCTGTAAGGAAGAGTGTAAACTAATTGCTGTTGATCCTGTGTTGTCTTTGTGTCTTGGAAAAAAGTGTTAAAATTTGAGACCAGCCTTTAATGAAACATCATGCAGTGGAGTATTTTCAAAGTTGTGGGATCCTGTCATGAGAAAAAGTTGCAGTAATGGCACAATACATGCCTGTTTTAAAAATGGATTAACAGTAGTGATGCAGTGTGAAAAATTATAAACAATTTAAAACTTTTATATGCTATATCTGTTTATTACCTAAGTAAATAAAGAGCAGTTGGTTCCTTCAAACTTCTGCTCGAATGATTCATGGAAGTTTGGCGAGATCTCCACCAACTTTCATGACCAATGGGATTTCACAATTGGATCAGATGTTTTACTTTCATTTGTTTAGGGCCTGTTCTGGAATTTTCACTTATATGGCATTCGACATTTTCCAAACTTACTGGATAGTCGAGCTTTTACCATATTACTTCTGTGAGATTTTTCATTCACTACCTTGATTGTCATCAAATGTTAAATGATTTATCCAGTAGTTAAAAATAGTTTATTTCAAAATAAGTAATACCATTAGCTATTAAAATGCTTCAAATTTATTGTTAATTAAGATATGTAAGTGAAATATAAAATTACTGCACTTCCTTGCATATTTCACTCTCTTTTTTTTAAAATAATTTTATCATCCAAAAAAGAAGGGAAAATTATGTGAATAATTTAATTTATAAATATAGTTATGCAGTATAGTGAAAACATAACAAATGAAAAAAAGTTATAGATAAACAAGAGATAACCATGACAAAAATTTTTCTTTAAAAGAAACTTACATCACAATTAAAATACATAGTATTGCTAACATTGCAATATCTAATAAGATATTTTCATGTCATCTTCCCTGTAACTTAAAATTGACCCATTATTATTGTTGTCCCTGCTAATTCTTAGTCCTCAAATCATCCAAAAATAATTGCAGAAGGTAAATGTGCAGCTGGCTGAGCAAAATTGCTGACTGAATATCAGTTTTATTTGCTTTGTTGTGGTTGGTAGGTTTTTGTATTATGTTGACAGAAAGTTCAGCATTTAGAAGGACAAGGTTCAGAGTGATCTTTATAGCAGTTTGCAAGGTTTTGTTGTTGTTAAAAAATTAAAACAATCAATATGTGGACAAATCCATTTTAAAATTTAGGGAAGCTTGATCTCTGAATGCATTGAAAAAAGAAACAATTTTGTGAATATTTTATAAACTTTCAGAATTTGGCACTAAAAAGCTAGAGTGTAAAAATATAAAATTTGTTTATGCATGGAAGTATTTCTATTTCAGGGAAGTGATAAAGTAAATCTGAATTTACCAGATATCTTGGTAAATAAGTTAATATTTTCATTAAAGAAATATTTGAAGATTTTCAGAATGTATTACATATTTAAAAATTTTGAAATGGAGTGGCTTGTTTTTATTTTTATACCTGTGCTTAGATGGTATTGAAAGATGAAGAATGAGTTTGTATAGATTTTGTTATGTGATAAAATATTAAATGAAAGATGCCTAGTTTAATAATTGTCTTTTAATGCAAATTGTAATATTTTTCTATTTGAATTACTGAAAATGTATAAACTTTATCACATCACAGGTAGTAAAAAATTTATGTATGTCAGAAAGGATATGTCTTTTATAATAATTTTGTTATACCAGTGTAAAATATCATATTTTAAGAAGGAAATTTATGCATGTTGTGTCAAATCTGAATTATACAATCAGTCAGTTAATTTAATCTTCAGCCAGTCAGTTAATTTAATCTTTAAAATTTTCAGATTATCTGACAGTACTTTTAAAATTAAAATTGGTGTTTGCTGATTATCCATACCTTCAATTTAGGCATTTGGTAGCACTGCCTTGTTTTGGGACATGTTTTTAACTATACACACAACAATTGCAAACCCATGCTTTCAAGTATCACATACATGTTTAACTACAGAAGATTTTACTAACTCTATATTTAACTGCCATTTTGCTGAATGCTATTTATTGGCTGCAAAAATGTAAATATCAGCTTGATAGATTTTTTTTTTGTAAAATTATTTCTTAAAAAAATGCTTCTCATTTTAGTTAGCTATGAACAGAACTGTACCTGTGAGCCCTAGTAGGCAAACATACTGTTTTTCATAATTCGTGAAGTTATTAATGAGTTGGTAAATTCTTGTGGCAATGTGGATAATCAGAAAGTAGCTTCAAATTTAAGATGATGAAAAAAATGATCAGATATGTTTTACTGATTTATTCATAAAAAATAAAATGTGTCCTGTTTTAAATTAAAATATGCAGTGATAAAGAAAAAAAAATACTTCCGTATAAAAATGAATATAGTATGTTTAAAATCATGTTTAAAATGAGCAATATAAAAAGAGTTTGATGTGGAAATGAAAGCTTAAATTTTATATAGAACTATTCCAAATGATTCATCAGGTTTCAAAACGTTTTTTCCAGTATGAACTTCGTATAGTTTCATACTGGAAAAAAAAATAAAAGAGTATTTCATGAAAGGAAAATCATTCAAATTTTAATTCTAATATTATAAATTATTGATGGGTGCTGCTTTTGATACCATAACTGAGTTGTATTCTGCACAGATTCCATTCTGCAGAAAATAATTGTTTTGTCATTGGGCCTTAGAGAGATTGCATAATTATCAACTTGCTTGTGATAACAGAATTCTTTCATTTGGCTCTTCATTGCTGCAACATCTGCAAATGGTATGGTTTTAGCTATAATTGTTGTTGCGAAATTTTTCAAATTGCTAACTGCAGAATACCAGTTCTATGGCTTGCTTTTGCTTTCCCCCTCCAAGCTATACATAAAACTACTTTCTGCACTGCTTCATTAGAAATGTTTGACTGTTCAAGGCTCTTGCTTTTGGAAAGATGGGTTGTACTATTTAGCTGTCAATACCATTATAAAATATTCTGTTGGCTTTGTGGATCTGTATTGTACTGCATTTGAAAGCAGTGCATATTCTAAAACACAGAGCACTCACTACTTTAAATGCTGTTTTTTGAAAATTGAACTCATATCTGCTATGCAGTATGTATTTTATTTATGAATTTTAAAATTTAAGATTTTTCTTTTGTTACTTGACTATGAAGAACATATCAAAAGTATAACTTGGAATTTAAAGTTCAAAATCTAACGAATCATTTATAATAACTCTGTATTTTATTTTGTGTATATATTTTTAACTTGATATAGTTTTGTATATATTAACTTGAGAATCTTGATATAAAATACCAGATTCAGGAAATGAAGGAGTTATTTCTTTCTTATGATTTCTCTTGCTGAATTATTATTATTTTTTTCCTAAATAATTTTGTATATTATGCCTTTTATGAAATTATAATCTTTTATGATACATTTACTATGTACTGCATGTTTGTGTGGAAGACAACTGTCATTTTTCAATATTTTAGTAAACCCCCATTTGTGCTATTGGGTTGGAGGGGTTCTGTCGATTTTAAGGATTTTTTAACGCATTCAGTTTTTTGTAGTGTCACCACTGCAGTATGCGGGCGAGCATTATCGTGATGGAACACTATTCCTTTTCTGGACGCTAATGCTGGCCTTTTTTCTTTGATAGCTGCATTCAATTTATCCAGCTGATTGCAGTACAGATCCGCGTTGATGTTTTTTTTCCCTGTTTCAGCAACTCGTAATACACTGGACCTTTCCTGTCCCACCACAAACAAAGCAGTACTTTTCGTTGATGGATACTTGGTTTTGGAACTGTTGCTGATGATGTTCCTGGTTTGCAGTAAGATTTTTTTCTTTTAATATTCTCGTAAAGAATCCACTTTTCATCTCCAGTAACCAGCCTGTCCAAAAACGGCTCCACATTGTGTCTAATCAGATGTGATGAACATATTCTTACACGATCAGACAAATTCTTTTCCGTTAATTCATGTGGAACCCAAACACTTTGCTTTAACACAAACCCAAGAGATTTAATGTGATCTCCAACAGTTGTATGATGAATGCCAAACTCTTCTGCAATTTCTCGACTTGTTAAATGTGGATTATTTTCCAACATGGATCGCAAAACATCATTATCGATCTTGGATGGTCGTCCAGATCGAACACTTTCTTTGAGGCTCAGGTCCCCGGAACGAAATTTGCTAAACCATCTTTGACAAGTACGAACATTTACAATATCTTTTCCAAATACCGCACATAAATTTTTACATGCAACAGATGCGTTGCTTCCTTTTTGGAATTCATATAAAATGCAGTGTCGTAAATGCACTTTATCTACCGACATGTTTTTTCCTTTAAATATTACAAGTAAATGATGAACGGTAAAAAAGGGCACCTTTTATATTATACAGCAGCTAAAAAAACAAAAAAAACAAACAAAAAAAAAAAATCCGATTGACTCACTAGCCAGATGTTTTTTTTTATTTACAAGAAAAATCACCTGCCTATTTAAAATACACAGAACACAGAACTTTCCCTCTGTATATATAAGATCTCCAGGGAAAAAGTTCAGAAAAAGAATGATGCATACATACAATGTCAATGTAGAAGATGGTCAGACTCAGACGAACGCATTCCCAAGGCAGCTGCTATGCTGTCTATTCTTCACTGTTTTTTGTTCTGTTCTCGTACTTATAAGTGTTATATGTTATTTTCTTGTTTATACTTGTATTGTGCAGATATTTAATACAAGTTTCATGTTTAAAAGGAGGACGTGTTTTGAGTTCCTTCACATTTACATCGCAACATAATATTTTGGAGGCACCGGCGAGATTCGAACTCGCGATCTCCTGTTTATCATGTTATAATGAACAATCATAATGCAAAATGACTAATTATATGTTTCAGTTTTAAAAACAGTATGATCATATGCACCAATTCATAATGAATAATCAATCAGTGTATAAGGAATTCTAAAGATTTTAAAATTTATTGTGATATACAATTGTGATTTATTATGTGATGTATTTTAAAAATTTGCAGCCTTACTTGTGCAGCTATAAAATTATTTATGCAAAAAATACATCAGCTTAGTTTGATTAATATTAATATGAAATGCAAATTAGGCCTGAAAATTATTCATGTTAGTTCAAGGAAATTATTCATTTGAAACTTAGTTTTTTTAGTTTTGGAATAAATTATAATTTTATTATGATGAAGAACTTTTATTTATTTATGTATTTTTTCTAATTTCAATCATTTTAATCTCAGGTGAGCTGTTAGCAGTGCATTATGCATATCTATATTATGTCTCTGTTTGCATATTGATAAAAAAAGCATGTGATAACTGTTTAAAATTATAATCAATGAGCAGAGATTATGTCTCTTCTTCTGTTCTTATAACAGTATTATGAAAAACAAAAATTGAAGCTTTGAGGAAAAACAATGGATATTAAAAAAAAGTATTGATTGTATTCAAAAACTGCTACATTAGTTTTTACCCTTTATGGAATTGAAGCCAGTTGTGAGATTAGTTATTTCATTTTTTTTTTTTTTTTTTTTTTTTTTTTTTTTTGGTAGGATTTGAAATTAGTTTTCTAAGAATGAAAAATGTAATGGAATAATAAGCTTTTAAAGGAATTTTTACAAAGGCATTTTAGTTAATTTTAAATAAGTGCCTGTAATAACTTAATATTTGTATTTGTATAATAATAATATTTGTATCTTTTTGAAAATTCATTTCCTAGCAAACTAAAATAATATGTCACTTTTGTGGTATTTAAAATCAATTATCAGAAATTATGATTGTTTCTTAATGTTTGCTCAAAGAAGATAAATGACAAAAAGTATTTTATTTGGTTTTATATAAATTAGTTTTTATGATACAAGGCAGTTTCTAATTTAATGTTTTCAGTTAATTTAATTTAATTTAATGTTCTGATTTAATGTTCAGTTAATTTGAATATGAATAGATCACTTCAAATTCTCATATATATATATTTTAATCTTTTAGCTAAAAAACATTATAAAGGTAAAGTGGTATCACCATATGCACCATATAAATGTGACAAAATTTATTGGGGCTACAATGTTAGACTTGCTAAAAGCTTAAGTGCTGTATTTTCTGAATGCCCATTCAAAGGAGGTTATGATCTTTCTATTGGAACTTCAGATAAAGGCCAAGATGTGGATTCCTTTACATTACCTTCTTTCAAGTATGTATGTAGTGTGCTTTTTGTCAGATAAAAATTGCTCAGTTTTGTTGAAAGAAATTGCTACCTTGAAAAGGGCTGGTAAATTTTGTATGGCCATTTCGCAGTCTCAAGATTTCTAATTCTGGTCTTTGAAGGAGGATGTAATACACAGTACAGTTGTAAGTTTTCTTGAATAATGATTTTAGAAAGTCCTACATGAAGCCATCACTTCTTCACAGATTATAAGTCTAATTATTCTTTGTCATAATCAATTAATCCAATACAGACTTGGCTGGTAAAAAATGTAAAGATTAGCATATTGTGGCTAAATTCTCAACTAGACAGCATAAATAACATAGAAGTCGCTTGTTTTACAGTAGTACATCAGTAGTCAAGTGGCTGAACACCGATGGTTTGAATCCTAAAGTACAGCTGTATGGGTGTCATCATGATTTTCATCATGCGTATTGTTTGCAAGACCCAACTTCCCTTAGAAAGATTTCCAAGAAAGCATTCCATCTGTTAGGTAAACAGCCTTCTGCACTTTGCTGTACTCTGATAAATCCACTTATGTTAATATCATCTGTTTAAAAGATTGGAATGGAAAGGAGGAGAAGGTGAAAAGTTATAATCCTTATTATCACCCATATTAAATTGTTACCAGTTTATGATTTCTAATAGTTTATCTCATTGTTAAGTGTTATATGCCAAACAAGATTTATAAGCAGTTTTGTTCAATATTACAAGCATCAATTACCTCAAAATATCCCCCTTTTAAACAATCAAGTCAGTTACTTTTAATCTTTCTTGAATCAATTATTTTCAAATCTTTTGGACTTCTTCCCAAACGTCAGTCTTTCAAATATTAAACTCATGTATTCTATATGCTTCCATAGCCGGTAGATATAGAGATTATTGGAGGTTGACTGCTAACCTAAAATTAAGGCTATGGTTTGGACTTTGTAAAATTTGGCTGTATGTGTGCATCCTTCCTCCCTCCCCTTCTTGCAAGTGTAAAATGAATTTATCCTTATGATGTGGTAGGAAAATGTTCTGAATGATGAGTTGATTATATGATATGTGGGTTTGTGTTTTTTCCAAAGAATGCTTTCAAGTAAGTGCTTAGCTGTTAAATAAAAATGTAGAGTCATCTTATAATATTTACTTTTACCTTATTTTGCTTCCTTCTGTCACAGTGTATTTATTTGGTTCAATTAAAGGAAACAGAGAATGAAGAAATTGATTCACACAAATAAGTTAAAATCAAAAGTATTTTCCATGAGTGGTTAAGCATGTATCTGTTCTTAAAATGAGTGATTGGTTGATGTGATCAAAATATAATGATGACTACTGAGTGAACCATTTCATGACTACCTTTTCGCCTTAGGTGTTAAGTGACGGCTTTTGAAGTGTTTCATTAGTGGAACAGTAATGTGACAATTTCAAGATGTGTTCTCATAAGTTATGTTTAGCAATGCATTTTGCCATATTTTGCAAGTTTTCATGTATATAGCCTGAAATTTTGTAAGCAATTATGTTATTCAGCATTTGAGAATTTAACAAATCCAGTATTTATTCAGCATTGCTCAATATGTGATCCAGTCTATTTTTTAACACTTTAAATAAACATATAGGAGGAGCATCACTTACTTGATCCTGAATGCTTATATATATATATCTATATACTATAGATATATATATTTATATATCTATATACTAGATATATATATCTATATACCATGTGTATCCAAAGTAAATGAGACTTAAATAATGTGATTATGCAATCACATGTATGTCTTTATGTTAGGTGAAAGAATAGCTGCTGTGATTTTTATTGGTAACAGCAAAAAACAGCTGTTTTCCTTGCTTTACTGCATGATAGCATTTGTGTTCAAAATGGCATTTCTGAGCAGATAGTTTTTTTGTCTGCTGCAGTTTAGAAAATGAAACAATTGTTCCAGTTTAGTTGGTGATTAGGCCTAAATTTGGAAGTGATTATTCATTTGACAATATGGTACAGATAGTTCTAGATGTCAGGATATTTGCATAAAGGGAAGAAAGAGTACAGGAAAACAACATACTATTGGAAAGAGGATCAGTTTCAACGCCTATAAGACAGTTATGAAGGTCGTAAAAAAAAGACCAAACTTTTGTAATTGCACACCAACGGCTGCAGATGGCATGGTCTGTGGCTTCCGTGCGCACCTAGTGGCATTTCTTTGTAACATATTGCTTTTTATTGCATTCCATTTTTTTTTTTTTTTTTTTTGTTGTTGTTGAGCAATTACCAGATGAGGGAGACTGTGTGTAAGCTGTGCATTTGATTAGGGAAAAGCAAAAATGAAAAAGTTGGTTGAATAATGTGGCTGTGTGAAAGTTTGCATAAAACATGGGTAAACTTTTACAGAAGCATTCCCGATGTTTAACCAAATATGCAAAGATGACTGCATGAGCCAAACACAGTCCTATGATTGGTTTCAACATTTTAAGAAAAACAGAAGATCAGTTGTTAAAAATGAAGAGATTGGACAACCTTCCACGTTAATAGACAACCATCGTGTTCTGAGTGCAAAAGTAAATAAGAAAGACTGCCAGAGAATTCTAATTTAGTTGAAAGTTGTATTAAGAGATTTGAATCGTGGGGAAAATCAGTCGGTGATGCTGTGTCACATTATTGTTTCTTGTTGCCAATTATCTCACAAAACATCAAATTTCCATTATGCTCCACCCATCTTATTCTCCAAACTTGGTTTTGACAGTAGACTTTTTCTTCTTTCCTAAACTTAAAACCAGTTTGAAAGGACACCATTTCCAATCCATAGAGGAAATTCAGGAAAATGTGATTTCCGTCAGGTATTCCAAAAGGGGAAGAAATGATGGGAATGGTGTATAGACACTACAGGGAAGTATTTTGAAGGGATGTTGGTTGAAAGTTATAAAATTTGCAATAAAGCAAGAACAGCAAAAGTTCAGGCTTCTTTTGAACAGTTCTTGTATAATTAAGACACAATAACACTCTGAATAAATAGTAATTCAGAAGTCAAACAACAAAAATCAGCGTTATATTTACAAAATTTTCACAGGACTAGTTTCGATGGTTTTACCAAACCACCATCCTCAGCTGCAAAACCGCAAATGAACAAGATAGGAAATAATGATTAGATAAGATAAGAAAGCCTGGACAAGAATAAGCAAGTGGCGCCATCTGTTGGTGAAACCAGAACTAAAACATAATTTCTTTAAAGGCTGAAGGCAAATTTGAATTGGAATTAGGATCGTTAACTAGAACAGAAAGATTTTTATGAATGTGAAATGCCTCTAGAAAATCCAGTTCTCTAACAGAAGATGTTTTTTGAATAATTTTGGCAGCAGAAAAACTGAAAGTGTGGTTTTCGGACCAACAATGTTGAGCAACAGAAGACTTCTGTGTTTCTTTTTTTCTAACATATGCCTCATGTTCCTTGATGCGAAATTTTAAGGCTCTCTTAGTTTGGCCAATGTAAATTAGACCACACTGGCAAGGAATCCTATAAATACCCCAGGAATTCATATCCGGAATGGGGTCCTTGAGTATGGAACTCGGAATTTTATTGATGGGAGAATAAACAACCCGAAAGTTAAATTTCTGCAAAATATGTGCAACTTTATAGCTAATTGATGGAAAGAAGGGAATGACAACAGAATTTTTATAATCTCCTAAAACAAGAGTGTGCAAAATTCATAACAGTGGTATTCCTTTCTGCCCTATTGTATCAAATTTAGGTACTGTCTCGTATTCATTAGCTAAATATTTAGTTTCTAGATTTTCAACTCTATTACACAATAACATTTACACCATAAAAATTTCAATAAAATTTGTAAAAAAGGTTAAAAACATTTCTCCTAGTAATTTACTCAGGGTTTCTTTTGATGTAAAATCATTATTCACCATGTCCCAGTGGAGGGTGCAGTAAGATGTCTAGAAACCAGACTTTGTGAATTTCATTTCTCTTGCAGCGAAATTGATGAGCTAATTTCTCTCTCTCAACTCTGTTTGAAACAAACACATTTTGTTTTCCAAAATAAATATTACAAGCAAATTGAGGGATTAGCCATGGGAAGCCCCCTCAGTCCTATCCTGGCTGATATCTACATGCATTATTATGAATCATAAATATTACAAGCAAACTGAGGGATTAGCCATGGGAAGCCCCCCTCAGTCCCATCCTGGCTGATATCTACATGCATTATTATGAATCAAAATTGTTTGAAACTTTAAACTTCCCAGCATGGTTCCGCGACGTAGACGATACTTTTACTCTGTTTGAAGGTAATAAAGATGATTTAAATAAAGTTCTTTCAACAATGAATTCTATTGATCCTGCTGTTCAGTTCACTTTTGAACTCGAGACTTGCAATTCTCTTCCGTTTCTCGACATTCTGGTCACACGTAACACATACAACTTCAATATACGGTTTACCGTAAACCTTCATAGGTTTGCCTTCCACCAAACTTTAAATCGTGTCATCTGACTAAACAAATGTTAGCTTCATTTTATTCCTATGTTTTCCGTGCTCTTCAAGTTTGCTCCTCCAAACTAGCCCTTGATGAAGAACTAAATTATTTAAAAGCAATAGCTATTGACAGGGGCTTTCCACCCAACATTATTAATCAAGCAGTTAAAAAATTCTCATCTCAACACACTAAAAGGCACACTCTTGTTTTAGGAGATTATAAAAATTCTGTTGTCATACCCTTCTTTCCATCAATTAGCTATAAAGTTGTACATATTTTGCAGAAATTTAACTTTCGGGTTGTTTATTCTCCCATCAATAAAATTCGTAGTTCCATACTCAAGGACCCCATTCCGGATATGAATTCCTAGGGTATTTATAGGATTCCTTGCCAGTGTGGTTTAATTTACATTGGCCAAACTAAGAGAGCCTTAAAATTTCGCGTCAAGGAACATGAGGCATATGTTAGAAAAAAGGAAACACAGAAGTCTTCTGTTGCTCAACATTGTTGGTCCGAAAACCACACTTTCAGTTTTTCTGCTGCCAAAATTATTCAAAAAATATCTTCCATTGGAGAACTGTATTTTCTAGAGACATTTCACATTCATAAAAATCTTTCTATTCTAGTTAACGATCTTAATTCCAATCCAAATTTGCCTTCGGCCTTTAAAGAAATTATGTTTTAGCTCTGGTTTCACCAACAGATGGCGCCACTCGCTTATTCTTGTCCAGGCTTTCTTATCTAATCATTATTTCCTATCTTGTTCATTTGCGGTTTTGCAGCTGAAGATGGTGGTTCGGCAAAACCGTCAAAACTAGTCCTGTGAAAATTTTGTAAATATAACGCTGATTTTTGTTGTTTGACTTCTGAATTAGTTCTTGTATGTATTGGAATCATAATGTCTTTTGCACACACCTAAGAAAACTATATAATGTGCTAGTTTTAAAATAGCAACATTAGCCATCATACAGTGGAAAATGTTTTAAACAATTGTTGCACATAAAGCTGTTTATTTTGTTACTTTTCATAAAGCCTGGAAATGATACAGTACATGCCAATTTTACCATTTAAAATGCAGGAGTAATCAACAGTTGGTATTTTCCTTAATTATGTTATTTTTATTGATCAGTTAACTTTTTACCTTAGTGTGGGAATTTTGAGAATAGCTGAATGAAGTTTTCCTCATTTTTGGATTGTTCCTTATAACTATACTTTCTTAGCTTCAGTGTCTCTGGGTGGTGATTTCTTTTTCTGGGAACAGGTAAAAAAGCTGTTTCATATTCCACCATTACATATAAGCCTATCATTTTTACTCAAGGTGCAGGGTCATTAGCAAATTTTTAAGACAAAATTTAAAGTCATCTGAGATTAATCACATAAATGAAATATTGTAATCATTCAGTTTTGTATTAGAATAAATTTTGTTTTATTTTCAAGCCATATATTTGAGATGTTATCTTACATCAAAAGAGCTTAAATTTTAGTATGGAGTAATTTAACTTTTCTTGGATGGATGTATCACATTATGCCTAGGTACTGGATTAAAACTTGTAATCAGAACTAAGATATTAATTACATTCTTAATTTTGCAGTATTTTCTAATGTATGACCTGTAAATTATTTTCAGGTATTGTCAAATTAGCATTATTTTTAGTTACAGGAAAAACAAAAGTTTTGAATAATAGGTTTTATATCATCAGCAGGGTGCACTTTATGAACAATATATTTTATATTGGTTTTTAAATTTGAGCTATGAAACAAAAACTAACTATAAAATGCAATATAATATAAGCAGGTAATGTTTATTTTGATCTCACTAGATGCTTCTATATGTAAAAGGATTAAAACATGTGAATGATTATTCATTTATTGATTATATCTTGAATCACTACTCAACACAACGGAAAGCTTAAATCAATTTTAAACTAAACAGCTTTTTTAGGTCAATCAATTGAGGCCTGCAAATCAATTACTTTTTAAATAATCACAAACATGCTGTGAAAATGAAGGTCCCCAACAGTTCAAGTGAGATGGGCTTCCCACTTCATAAATCAACCTCTTACATAAAAACACGAAATATTAAAGTTGTTTCCAATAAAATCGAGTATTTATATATCAATGATTTTTTTCAAGTATTATGAAAGTTTTCTGTGATAGTATTGTTTTATTTCAGAATTATGTAATAAAAATATATTCACATTAAAAACAATATTATTTATAAATGTAATCAATTTAGTTATATAATCAATAATTTCAGATAAAAATATGCCTATTCATTTTTTTCAGGCATCTGTTGATAATTTTTGGTGGTTTGAAAGGGTTAGAAGGTTGCCTGGAAGGAGATGAAACTTTAGAAGCTAATGAACCAAGCGAGCTTTTTAACTTTTACCTGAATACTTGTCCATCTCAAGGCTCTAGAACAATACGAACTGAGGTATTTATTTTTTTAGAAAAAGTATATAGTACATTATTTTATAATGCAATATAACTGCAAGGTATTCATCTGGAAAATTAGAATATTTCTCTTTTCTAATCTTTTAAAATATTGTTTTTTATATTTGATGATTGGAAATATTAGGTTGTTGTTGATAACCAATTTGCAGTTTTCATATTAATTATATCTGAATTTTAGCTGTTCTTAGATTTGGGAAACATAATCCCAAGAGAAACAGCCAGTTTATGTTTCATTTGTAGATCTGGTATTTCTATAAATTCTTGTATAAAATTATGAATTTTATTTGACTTATTTAAGTTTTTGACTTATTTCAAAATGTAGTGGATTAGCAAGTAATGGCTAAAGTTCTATTAAATTTGAAACATGTTTATATCATATAAATAAAGTACAAAATCCGAAATCTGGATCTCCAATATCCGAAAAGGTCTAAAATCTAGGTACTGAATATTTGGAATCTGAAATCTAGGCCTCCAGATCACCAGAAGCCTTTGTATGTGTGTGCTTTATGCTTGTACATTTGATCATTTTGCTTAATAAAACATGTGAAGACCCTCAGTTATTAATATCACTTCAGCTATAAATAAAGTATCTCCATATCGAAGAAGCAATCATTTATTAGCATACATCTACATGATAATAAATTGGCTCTGTAGCCTTTTTTTTGGGAGGGGGCATAATCTCAAACTATGAGCAAATAAGCATACTTTGAAACATTCTACATAGAAATTTCCTTTGTTTTTACTCCTACTGAACAATTTATATCCTTGATGCCAATCTATTGAATCATTATTAATTATTTCTTGCTTTCATCACCACACTTCTATCAGCATATAGCAGCTTGAGAAGTAATTCATTATAGTGATATCTAGGAATTTATTTTTTACACTTTGCAGCCAAATGAAGAATTGAATCTAGTGCTGGCTCTGTATAAATCTGAAGTATATGTGGGAATTTATTTCTTTGGGACTCGGATTAGCCTTAAGCATGTGTGGGAAATAGGCATTATTGTAATAAATATCTAACCTAATAATTCAGGCGTAACTTCGTCAGTGTGTGATAGAAGGAAGACAAAATTTAGCAGAACAATGTGTCTTAGTCAATAATCTCCAATAGTTATAGTCTCATGATACATCCCCAATAATGTGTACCTGGCAGTAGCTAAGCTTTATGATGATAGTTGAGAATTTGAAGATTTTCAGATATTACAAACAAAAAGCTAAGTTTATGGATTTTTGATTAATGCAATTTTAAAGAAATGTGGAGAAAAGGTAATGCCTGTCTATAGAATTAGAGAGAAAGTATAAGCACAAAAAATTAATAACCTAAAATCATATCAACAAAAAATTAATCGACAGAAACATTTCACAATTAACATCAGATTAACAGAAATATTTACTGACAAAAATAAATATTATGCTTTTTTTTTTTTTTTTTTTTTTTTTTGTAAACTCTGATTCCCTTAAGATCATAAATGGTTCATTCTTTCATAAATCACTATTTTATATTTTAATTTTATAATTCCTAATTATGTCATCTGGCTAGATTTAAAGTGATGATCTAATATCCGAAAAAATCGCAAATATAGAATTGCCGAAGTTCCGACAAATCCAGATCTCAGACTTTTTATTGTAAATTGCTATGGTAAAATATGAAGTTTATTTTATTTACTTATTATTAGATTCAAAGCAACTAAAAAATGAGGTTTTAAATAAAATGTTAAGTCATAATTTAATAATATTGAAATAACACAAATACAGTACAAAGTCCGAAATCCAGACATCCATTATCCGGAATGATCTAAAATCCTGACCTCAAAACCACCAACAGCGTTTTTCTCGTAGGCTTTATGCATGTGCATTTGATTCCCCTCTCCATGTATAATAAAACATCTGGAAAGTCCTGATTCTTAATTTCACTTCGACATAAATAAAATACCTTGTTATTGAAGAAACAATCATTTTAGCATAAATTTGTACGATCAGTAATTTGGCTCCATTGCTGCATATCTGCTTGGCACACATCTCAAACCGAAACATTCTACATAGATACATCGTTGATCTGATGCCAACCTGGTGAATCATTATTATAATTTCCTTTCATCACCGCATGTGTATCAAAACATGACAACTTGAGTAATGACTCATGTAGCGATGGTTAAACATTTTTTTTTATGTTAGTAACTGAATAATAAAGGAGTATGGTAACCTTTTATGTTTACATTACACTTGGCGATGATTACAAATTTAAGGTAAATGCACTAAAAATGTTGATAAGGAAAAATTCACCAAAAATTTCTTTCCACATGCTAAAAATAGATTTTGTTGAGGATACTCATAAACCCCAAAATTACATTTAGGGCTATTTGAATTAAGAATAACTGATTTGTTATTCACATAAACTCAGAACCAGCGCTTGGGCTCGTATGGCTGCACCTGAGTTGCAGAATTTAGGACCCACAGAGACTGCATCAGGCGGTAAGGTATCTAGCACTAGCCCTCAATAAGGTTAAAGTATATGTGGAAATTTATTTATTCAGAGCTCTGATAAGCCTTAAGCATGTGCAAGAAACAGACATAAGTATAATAAATAACTAAACTAATTCAATTCAGGCTTAATTGTCTCAGTACATGATAGAAGCAAGATAAAATCTAATGGAACAAGTTGTTGTTAGTCGCCAAGCTCATGATGCATAGCTAAATATGTATAATGAAGGATAGCTAAATGTGATGATAGCCGCTGATTTTAAAGGTTTTCGGATATTGCAAAACAAAGGTGAAATTTTCCAATTAACAGACTTTAAGGAAATGTGGAGAAGCGGTAATAAATGAATATGATATAAAAGAAGTTTTTCATTGTGATGACAATGCTTCTCAATCATTAGTCAATTAATGAATGGCGAATTCTGTAGTATGGTTCTAGATCCAGAAAATACCGCTACCGATCGTGAAGAAAGTGACAGAAAAGTTACTGAAAACGAGAAAATTTCGATTGACAAAATAGTCAGCATTCTCAAAACAGCAGCTACAGGACTTCAACAATGTAACTGAACAAGAGATTATGTCTTGTCTACAGAATTAAGGAGAAAGTATTCATGCAAAAAAAGGAAGCAACTTAAACAACTTACATTGAAAGAAATGTTTAATAAGGTAAACAAATAAATATTAAGCTTTTCTTTTGTAAATTTTGATACTCTTTAGATCATAAACACTTCATTATTTCATAAATCACGATTTAATTTTTTTAATTTTATATTTTCTACATGCCATCTTACTAGATTTAAACTAATGATCTATTATCCAGAAAAATCCCAAATCCGGAATTGCTAAAGTCCCAACGAGTCCGGATTTCAGACTTTGTACTGTAATTATTTATGTTATGAATTACATTAAGTTTTTCTAAGTTTTGTTTGAAAGCTTTCTTTCTAGTAGTTTAATGAAAATTTGGTACTTTTGCATTACCCACCCAACAACTAGTATCATGAGGCAAAATGCTCACCAAAGTGGCAAAAAGAATTTCACAACACAGAATTTTGCCAAATCACTAATGGTTGCATGTGTAGTATGCCAGTGTGTAATGTCACCATCTTTCTCGGTGGTGGTGATTAGGAAATATTCCTACTTGCTGAAATTTAATAAACAGTGTAAAATGCTACTTTTTATTATAATTTTCCTCTTTCTAGTTTTTAAAGCTAAAATATATTATTCCAGAAAATAGCTTCATAACTTCTGTTTTTATTCTGCTGATATTTTTTAAACTAAAATGAATGTAACTTGGCACTCAAGTAGCAGAACATTGCATTATAAAAAGAAGTTATTTTTGAGTTAAACTCTGTGTGTTCTAATTTCTTGATGATGTATGCCTTAAACATTATGTTTTCTTGCAAAATTTTAATATTTCCAACAAATTTAATTATTTCTGTAGCATTTAACTTTTATTTTTTTACTGTTTCTGCCATGGAAGCATTTTTAAAGAATTCAGTTATTTTTGACAATGTATACATCAAAACAAACCAAACATTAATAGGAAATTTAACAGTAATGTAATTTTTCTGTTTGCTACAACATTCGCATGCTGCTTTTTTTTTTTTTTTTTTTTGTTTGTTTGTTTAAAAAACTGTAAATTTTTGTAAAGTTAATAAGTTTGTCAAATCTATAGACAAAATTCAGGTATTCTTTTAAAAAAAAAAAAAAAAAAAAAAAAAAAAAAGCTTAAATCATTGTATAAAATCTACACACAAAGGCCATTGTTGCTCACTGAAAGTGATTACTTAAAAGGGGAAAGCGGAAAGAATGAGAAACCCTGTCCTTCTACGGATCTTGCAGGTATTAGAGCTTTGGGTCTAAAAGGTTAATTTAACAGAATTTACATGGTTATTATATATGTATATATGCCTGCCTTCACAAAAGTATTTACCTGGCTTTTATTTCTGCAACTGATGGTCACAGACCTATACTTCAAATTACAAATTTGTTTTAAAATGAAGCAAATATTTGTGTTTTGATATTTTTAAATTAAAAAAAATTAAGAATTTTAATTTTTATGTGTTCCTCTGATTCGTTACATTTAGGAAATTATTTTTTTACAGTCAAAAGTGTTTAATCCGGACTCGTCGGGACATCGTCGATTCCGGATTACCGATTTTTCCGGATTATAGATCATCAGTTTAAATCTGGTAAGATGGCATGCAGAAATTATAAAATTAAAAATATGAAACCGTAATTTATGAAATAAAGAACAATTATGATCTAAAGGGTATCAAAATTTACCAGAAAAAAAGCTTAATATTTATTTGTTTACTTTATTAAACATTTTTTCAATGTAAGTTGTTTAAGTTGCTTCGTTTTATGTGATAATACTTTCTCTAATTCTATAAACAGACATAATTTCTTGTTCAGTTACAAAGTTCCGCTGTTCAAGTCCTATAATTGCTGTGTCGAGAATACCGACTAATTTGTCAATCATATTTTTTTCGTTTTCAATAACCTCTGTGTCACTTTCTTCACTATCGGAAGCGAATTATAATGATTTAAATTATATCAAAGACAGAGTACATCATGATGAAATACTACATTTAGTAAGGAATTCTAAGCCAAATGAAATAAAAACGTCTGCCCTGAAGATAAGGATAGTGCTGACAGATCAACTTCCAGTTCATTGTGCGCTGCAACGTCCCCCCCCCTTCCCCGCAGAGCAGAGCAGCGTGAAATTAATAAACAGATTTCAGAATGGTTAGAGAAACAAAGGATATGCCTTTATCCATTTTTTGCAGCAATTCCACTTTTTGTTTGATGGACATCGAAACATACTTTCTCTTTGTAGATCCTTTGGCAGCTCCAGCATCGGAAATTCTATTTGACATAATCGAAAGTTCAAGCTTACTATAAAATTGCTCTAACAGTCTGCAAAAAATAATAAGCCGGATCCAATTCGCAGATTAACCGCTTGCCTGATTATCCCGAGTTATCTCGGGTTCGTGTATGTTGCAGTTAATTATTATCTCGAGAAAACTCGGATGAAGCAGAATTTGTTAGTACGGTTTTATTCGGTCTGGAGGAAATGAAAGGAAATATTCAGCTTTTATCACGTTTTTATTCGGTCTGGAGGAAATGAAAGGAAATATTCAGCTTTGATTGGCAATTTGCCAAATTTTGTTGGTTGCGCGATTCTTTTAGAGGAACTGGTCACGTGTTTCCCTATTGTATTGTATACGTTGGCTTGTGGATTAGTAATGTATAAAGAAGGATGCATGCATTGAAAAAAAATAAAATGATGGCAGTGATGCAAGATAGCGAAAGCGATGATTTTTCAGATAATAATTATGAAGAGGTGGGAAAAAAAAAATTGAATCCAACGAGACAGTGTACTCTGTGCTCCCGTGAAAGAGATTGCAGCGGTAAGCCAGTAAGAAAAGAGACCAGATACCAGTGTAGAATGTCAGGCATCACTCTGTGTTGTCTCTTGTTTCAAAAACTAGCATGCAAAGATTAATATTTAACTTTTTTCCGTTTGCCCAAGATAACTCGGGATGGTAAACTAATACTAAAAATAAATGCTTTTACACCTTCAAAAAATTAAAAATTCAACTTAAAACCTACATATTTTGATTTGTTTCATTTTGTTGTATTTAATAATAAAATAAAGAAATGTGATGATTTTTTGCAATTTTTTTCAAAAAAATTTGTAAGGGAAGCGGTTAAGGAACAACGCAATCTGCAACATTAACTGAGAGATAATTAGATAATTTTAGCTTAGCTTATGCTGTCCGTTATACATTAAACGCACACCCATATGCACATGCGTAAAAGTCTTACATACATGCGTAAATGCCTATGCGCATGCATGAACGCATTATGCGTTGACGCATGCGCAAAAAGTCTGTAGCTTTGAAGTCCGGATTATGGGTGTCTGGATTAATGACTTTTGACTGTACTTATTACTATTTATACTTATATTTAGGGAAAAAATATATTCATCATAAAAAATACAGTACAATAAGTTTGACTCCAATATGATAAAAAGTGACTGAGTTATTTAATTTTAAAGTGGTCGTCATATTCAGGAACCAATACTTATTGAAAGCAAAGTGTTTACGTTTGAATTAAATGAAAATAAAATATTAATTTAGGAAGGTGTTTCTGACATTAATAGATTAAGTAGGAAGCATTTCAGTTCAGATTTCATGAAAAGTGCTGAATGTTTTTATCAAACAAAGAGACCTTATTCACAGAATCTAACAGAATTCATGTTCTAGAAAATTCTGGTAAGCTTCAGTTTTACACAGCCAACTTGTACTATTATTTACATGAATAAATAAATAAAAAAAAAAATTCTTTCTTTATTATTTGATTTTTTTTTTTTTCATGATTAATAGATTAAAATTTTGAAGTAATAAAACTACATAAGTTTTGTTACTTTAATAACATATCTTTAACATTTGAAAACATATAAATTGTAAAAAATCTTTCATATACCATTTGCAAATTATAAATTAAAAGTTGTTTCACAATAGTAACTCACAAAAGAATATAATTTGATGACATATAAGGAAAAAAAAATATATAACCTAAAAGTATTCTAATTTAGTTACCAACCAATTCTTTAAGGCAAGTTGAAAATGACATCAGAAATCGTAAACTCTGAAATTAAATATTTCGTTCAGATTTTGTCGTATGAGGAATCAAATGTTTTGTGTTTTATACAGGGCTGTTGAGTCGGTAGGGAAAATGACCGACTCCAATTCCCTCATATATATACGTGTGTGTGTGTGTGTGTAAACATTATACAAGGGTTATAGATTATTTTTTTAATATAAAAGAAGTAATAGATGCTACAGGAAAAGAACTGATGGCATAGCAAATTATTTATATTAATTAGCATTTATTATGAAATGGAAAAACTGTCATTGGTTATTTCTAAGAAACAGTATAGCTTCGGCAAGATTTTCTTTATTGGATGGCCATAGAATCTTTCCACACTAACTTTAGTAGGAGGAAGAGCTGTTACTGTTAGGGGTACTTCTCTTAACTTTTCAGGATAGATTTTTATAAGTTCTAAAAGAGGTGTCTTACAAGCGCAATCCTATTTCTCTATTTCTTCAAAGGCCGTGTAGAAATCTTGTTTGTATTTTTTCATTTTTTTATCTAAAGGTTCTTTTTTTTTTTTTTTTTTCATTTGCTTTGCCTTAGCCTTTTTAATATTATCCAAAAATATTTCTCAAAATCTAATTCATCAATGGAAAAGGATGATAGAGACTCAGTTTGCAATTGTCTGCAGGTTTGACTGTACCCTGATTTCGAATTCTCCAATTGTTCTCAAGAATAATTTCATTCTTAATGAAAGTTTCATAAATGATTTACTTTGCCTTTTTAATTTGTTCGTCATCCAACAACAATTCGGTGTTTTCGGATCTCCATATATTGAATCCAAAAAGATCTCATTGTCTAGCAAACTAGTTTCTCTTTTCTTCATTCAGAGAAAGGATTCCTTCTTGCAATAAACCCTCCATTTTAAGAAAGAACAAACATTCACATTTTTGCCATTCTCACCTCCTCTTAATTCTTCAGATTGTAGCTTTTTTGTGGCTATATACAGTGTAGAAAGAAGAAGTTTCCAATTCTGCAAGATCATTCCTACAGTCTTTCTGTTAGTGAGACATTAGGGTTATCTACATCTTCCCTAAAAATGTTCTTAATTTTAAAAACCTCTTTATCATCAAATATGTACTTCCTTATCGCATTGCTTGATCAATAATTGCTCGTTTTTCTGCTCGCTTCCTAAGAATGGCATCAAATTTAGGAGTTCTTGCTGCTATTGCTGCTTACCTAAATTTACCAGTGAGGCTTGTAACTAAATGAATCAGTTTAATCACTGTTTATTTAATATGTCAATAAAATAGAAAATAACTATTTATTAATGTATACAGTTCATAAATAAAAATAATAACTGAGCTTGTCACTAATTTTTTTTAATTCATTTAATTTCGTTTCAAATTCAAACTGTCCAACGAAAACTGGAGTTGGAGTCTACCTGTTTTTAGCGACTCCAGCTCCGACTCCTTTTACCCCAAATTGTGCCCAATTCAGACTCCATGACTCCGACTCCACAGCCCTGGTTTTATATTTTGCAGTGAGTATAAAATTTTCCTAAATATAAGGTAATATAAGAACCATGATATAATATAAAAAGCAAGATTTTGTTTTTCATGCAAAATTAATTTTTTTAGCTTTTCTTAGCATATAATTTAGAACTATCTGTTTTATGTAAAATGCATAAATCAGGCATTTAATGTGAGAACAATTTTTCTCGCTATATTCAAGAAGTCAAACTGCAAAAAGGGGGGGGAGACATGTAAGTAAATACAGTATGTATATATATGTGTGTATATATAATAAATACAATATTATAATCTCCTTCATATAAAGCAAATTAAAATTTTAAATTATGCAAATTCAATTGCAAACAAAGTAAATTGATTAATTATTGCAGCGAACTAATTTGCAATATCATTAAATTCAGAAAACATGAGTAAATAAATTGCACAAGAAAAAGATATTGCAGATTAGTTTGCAGCTATAATTAATCAGTTTATTTTGTTTGCAACTGAATTTGCATAATATAAAATTTTAGTTTGCCTTTTTATGAATGAGATTATAATATTTTATTTATTAAATTCATATATCATTCCTTGCAGCATTGACAAAAGAAAATTATTTAATTTTACTAATTAGTTTTTAATGAAACATTATATATATAATATATACAGGGATTATATGCATAATTATTTTTTTTTAAATTAAAGTTTATAATAGCTACTTTATATCTGCATAGTAAGCTCAAGTTAATATTCATTAGATTATGATTTAAAATTGGAAATGAGTGTTATTATGTGGTTGTATAGATAAAGTATTTTGCAATTTTTCTTATATGTTTACTTGATTTAAATTTATAGTATTTTGAAATTTATTCATATATATTTTTAAAATTTTTTAGGAAGCAGTCCTGATAACTCTGTCTGTTTTAAGGCCACAGATCAATTCTGTAAATGACAGTCTGTAGAAAAAAATATATGTTTTAATTTTAAATCAGTACTGTTATTTCCAATGCTATACTTAATATGTTCAGCACACACATTGCCTATTGAAAATTTTCATACATGTTGCATCAACACTCTTATTTTGAGTAAATATACAATAAAGAAAATAATATATTTTAAATTCTACTTATTGTCTTACTGTGCTAACGCAAATACATTTTGGAATGCTTTAATGTACACTTGTGTGTGAAATTTAGAGAATTTTCAAATTATATCTATTTTAACAAAAAATATTGAACCAAAGATACCAATTATGCCACCAAAGAACTATGCAAATATTCAGAGCTGAATATGTAAGTTCAGAGCTGAATATGTATAAAAAGTTTATTATTATTATTATTATTATTATTATTATTCTGTTGTTTTTTGATTAGATAAAATCAGTTATGACTCAAAGATGAGATGATTCTTAGTCGTTGTTTGGGTCTCATCCCAAATAACACACACCAAATAAATTCGCTGGTTCGATTCTTTATTAATTCTCATAATTAATTACAATTAACTCATAGCTGTGACCAGCCCTCTTACACCGTCGATGGCGATTCTCAAACTCGTTTGATCATCACATTACAGATGCGCATGCGTGGATTACATTACAGATGCGCAGGCGCGAACATGCCGCCCCGCGTTGCAACGCTTAGCATTCAACTATTGTAATTAAGATATAGCATAAAAAATTAAACAAGTATATCATAAAACATTTTGAATAAGTACTATTACATAAAATCATTATTATAATTAGACATTTACCATATACATTAGCGTACAACTCAAAGCAATACATATAACATTTCAGTTACATAATGACATTTTATGTGAAGCACATTCAATACTGTACAATAACTATAAAGACAATACTCATTTTTGTATTGGTAAGACACATAATTTGGTAATTGGTCGTTTGAAAGTTCCAGTTTGAGTTTTTACATTACACACGCGAACCTTTCCATCTTTACCATAAAATACTTCTATTATACGACCAACCGCCCAATTACAACAAGGCAAATTATCTTTAATTAAGACCATGTCTCCAACTTGTATATTGTTTTTAGAACTTTGCCATTTAGATCGATTTTGTAAATGACTTAAATAATTGGAGTTCCATTTTTTCCAGATAATTTGTACTAATTTGTGATCTGTTGCCACAATTTTAACCTGTTAATGTTAACTTCCGTGATATCTGGCTCAGGGATCGAATTAATTGCTCTACCAATTAAAAAATGCCCAGGTGTTAGAACCTCTAAATCATCAATGTCCGAAGACAAGGGTGTCAATGGTCGGGAATTTAAAATTCCTTCAATCTGAATCATAATTGTTAAAAATTGTTCAAATGTCAATTTTGCATTACCTACGACACGTTTGAAGTGGTACTTAAAAGATTTAACTCCAGCCTCCCAAAGGCCTCCAAAATTAGGTGCTCTGGGAGGGAGAAATTTCCATTCGATATTCTCAGAACTCAAATAACCAGCTAAAAGCTCATCTTGTTCGTTCACTAGTTTGTTTAACCTCTTTAATTCTGCATTTGCACCTACAAAATTCGTAGCGTTATCACTAAATAGTGTTAAACTTTTACCTCTTCGTGCAAAGAAACGTTTCAAGGTAGCTATTAATGCTTCAGATGTTAGGTCTGTTATCAGCTCTAAATGAATGGCCTTAGTAACCATACAAATGAATATACACACATAAACTTTTTGATATATACCTTTTCTCTGGTTTTTGTACTTAATTAAGAATGGGCCACAGAGGTCAACTCCAGTACAATTGAATGTAAGATTAGCTGTGATTCTTTCCTTGGGTAAATCACCCATGATTTGCTGAGCTACAATGGGATTGGCTTTAAAACATATTATACAATTTTTTACAATTTTTCTACAAACATTTCTACCACTTACAATCCAAAATTTTTGTCTTATATGATATAACAAAGATTGAGGACCCACATGCAAATATTTTAAATGATAGTAATTAACTATTAACTCTGTTAATTTATGTTTAGAAGGCAGAATAATAGGAAATTTTTTCTCATAAGTTAAATTGCTATTTTTTAATCTACCTCCAACTCTCAACAGTCCATTACTGTCAATGAAAGGGTTAAGACTTTTTATAGAACTATTTCTTGGAACAATACCTGATTTTTTAAGATCATTTATCTCATTTATAAAATACTCACCCTGTACTAATTTTATTAAAGTTTCTTCAGCTGCTCTCAATTCTCCCACTTGTAAATTACCTACCTGCTTTTGTTCTTGCTTACAATTCTTGTAAAACCTAAAACAAAAACTTATAATACGAATTAATTTTAAATACTTATTACTGCAATTCAATAAATCATTAACAAAATTATTCACATTCAGATTTAAACATGTAGATAGTTCAGAATCAGCAAAGTTTTTAAGTTCATTACTGTCCTTTTCAGTAATTGCTTCAGGTATAACTCTTATAGGGTACTCATCCTTCATTAAGAAGTCAGGCCCGTTCCACCACAGTTGACTTAGTTGCAGTTTTTTGGCAGACATACCTCTAGATATGAGATCTGATGGGTTTTCTTCAGAAGCGATATCATGCCACTGTGCTATTTCAGTCAGATCCTGTATCTTTGAAATCCGTTTTGCAACAAATGTCTTGAGCAGGTGTGGCTCTTTGTTGATCCATGACAGCACAATCATAATTCAATCTTGATTCTATCCGGTAATAAAATATATCTAGGGACTTCAATGTTGTTAATTAGCTGCAAGGTAGTGGAGAATTCTTTCCATTCTTTAGCCTCCTTTTCTGGCAAAACATCATTCCAGTTCAATTTCAACAGCCATAATTTCTGCATAAATATTTTTGCTACAATTATAACTGGAGAAATTATACCCAATGGGTCAAAGATGCGAGATATGACGGATAACACTTGCCGTTTCGTAACCTTTACGTTGTCTTCGATTTTAACGTTGAAGCTCAAACAATCTCCTTTTGACTTCCATAAAATACCTAATGCTTTAGATTCTTCTGATTTACCAAAGGGATATGTTTTGTCGTTTGTTTGACACAGTTCAGTAGCATTACTACACCACTTATGGAGTAACATACCTCCACTCTTCAAAATGCCTATTAACTGATTTTGAAGTTCTAACGCAGAACTTAGCGACTCAGCTCCAGATAGAATATCGTCCATGTACATGTCTTCTCTCAGTACAGGTGCTGCTAAAGGAAATTTATCTCCTTCGTCCTTTGACAGCTGTACAAGTGTTCTCATTGCTAAAAATGGTGCACTCACAGTTCCATAGGTAACGGTGGTTAGCTCAAAGTTTTTAACTGGCTTATCAATGCCTTCTTTCCATAAAATCCTTTGCAACTTCCACTGATCTGGATGGATAGAAATAGCTCGATACATCTTTTGTATATCAGCAGTGAAAGCAAAAATATATTTCCTGAATCTCAGCATAATTGAGAATAAATCATCTTGTATCACACCTCCATTATACTGTATAGAATTTAGAGAGTTTCCTTTGGTTGTCAAAGAAGAAGCGTTAAATACTACCCTCAAGGGAGTCGACTTACTTTTCTCTTCTCCCCTATATACTCCAATATGAGGAATGTAATATGAACCTCGTTCCTCCTCGCTTTCACTCACCTCAACCATATGTCCTAACTGTTGATATTCTTTTAAAAAATCTGAATATAATTTTAAATATTCGGGATTCTTTACTAAGCGTTTCCATAAGGAATTTAATTTACTCGTTGCAATTTGTTTAGAACTTCCTAAAGTGTCCGGATCCTCCTTTAATGGCATTTTAACAACGTACCTACCGGTTTTATCTCGTGTATAATTTTCTACGAAATGTTTCTCACAAATTAAAAATTCTTTGTTTTTGGGTTTATCAGTTTCAATATTTTCTAATTCCCAAAATTTTCTAAGAGTTTTATCTAAGTTGTCTTCTTCCTTTATCAACCCACAATGAACCCTGTTTTCAGTCTCTGTTGGAATACTTCCAGACACGATAAAACCAAAAACTGTATCTTGAAAAATAAGATCAGGATTATTCATTCGAATTTGACTCGGTTTCAAAAGTTCATAAAAAACTCCCGCTCCCAACAACATATCTACCCTTTCTGGAACATTAAATCCTTCATCTGCTAATTTTAAATTAGGAAGATCTTGCACTGAAATTTTAATTTTGCGCGAAGGTGTTAAATCAGCAGTTATTTTTGGAATTACTAAAAAGTCCAAATTCTTTATAAAAGTTCCTTCTTTATTGCATATCGAAGCATTAATTTTATGCTTTATTGTTAAAGTAGCATCATTTATTCCCGAAACGGAAATGTTTGTTTTTTCTTTCTCTAACTGCAAATGCTCAATAAGATTCCGTGTCAAAAAGTTTGACATACTGCCCCCGTCCAGCAGACACTTCACTCTGTGTTTTTTCCCCTCGTTATCAATTAGAAAACATACGACTGTTGAAAGCAGAACTGTACTCTGTTTATTCGAATAATTGCTAGTAAATGCCTTTTGAACGAACTCCTGCATTTTGTTCCAATGAAGAACATTCTTTCTCCTTTACGATATTATTTACTTTCGGAAAGTGAATAGTTTTGTGGTGCCGTTTTTGACAAAAACAAGAATATTTCGATGGGCAATTTGATACTGAATGCATATGTAGACAGTTAAAACATAATTTATTAGATTTCACAACCTGTACTCTTTCTTGTACCGGTAATTTTAAATACGATGGGCATTTTGCCAATCCGTGATTCTCGTGGCATAAAATACAGTTCTCTGTTTTAACATCTGATAAAAACACTTTAGCTACACTTTTTGAGCTATTATACTTACGATTAACATGAGAATTCTCAGTAAGAGGTTTTCCTCGTGACGTGAAATATAAATCTATTTCTTTACCTAACTCACTAGGTGAAAACCATGAATCACCTTGCCTCACAGCAATGTGAGAAGCTGTTCCCGTATCTAAAGATTGGTATAACCTATCTGAAACTATTAGTTGTTTGAGGGTCTCGAAGTCAGTTACCTTCCTTAATTTTAAATAATAATCCCAAGCAGTTACTAAGCGTGAAGCAAACTGCACATGAGTTTCATGTGGTTGTTTAACAGTTTTTCTAAAGTTTTCTAAACACGAATATGG